ACAATTCATAATTAAAAATAAACTACAATGTTACGTAATACTTTCATAAAAGATGTCATAAATGCCTTTTATATTAAAATACAAACTTTTAAATTCGATATGTACATGAATTTGAATATGCTTTATTAAACGTACACATGAAATTTAGAATTTAATTGTACCGTATTATTCATTTTCTAATAAGTCATACCGATTGCAAAATGTCCATTTTTCAAAACAAACTACATTCTTTACGTCGTTACAAATTCACAATAAGATTAGCTGAGTAACTCGTTAAAAGTTACCAGTAATAATATAAAAGAATCCGAATTTGGTAATCTTTGATCAGATAAAATATCATTAAATATCATGGGATTTATCATTGGAAATATTATTGGAAAGCATTTCATTTTATACTAGCGTGTCTCGCGTTGCTTACGCAACGCGTTTAAGTATAAACTTTATTGTGCTTACGAAGTTCTTACAATAAAAAAGGTAAGTCTATGATAAAAGAAAATATTTAAATAAGTTTTAAATAATGTATAATAGAGTTATTTAAGTTGTATTTGGAATAGACAGGATAGTGATATGTTTTGTATTATTTTTTAAGTTTATTATTGTTGCAAATATTAACAATATAAAGTTATTGTATGCAAAGGATTTGTTAATTGTTATATTCTATGTGTGAAGATGATTTGTTGTAACTTAATTATATTAGCTGGGTTATAAATGATTAGAAGAGAACATAAAATATAGTAGTCGATGTATATAGAAATATATAATAATTAATTATTTTTGTATAAATTGATTTTAGTAAAGTATTGAATAAATATCAGAGGTATTTGAATAATAAAGTATTTTTAACAAATAAATTGTATTTTTTTTATAAGCTTGATGTAAAGATAAAATTGAAGAATTTTAATAACATTAAAATTTTTGTGAATATAAAGATAATATGAAGAATTTGATTATATTTATTGACCCACCTAGTATTGCCATCAAAATCAAGTATGTAATACAGAGATTAAATTTATTTATCAATATTTTAATAATATGAAATATGATTAAAATAACGATAATGATAATATTTGATTAGTAATGCGTACAATAAAAAACTAATATCTAACCTTTTATTTCTTTTGATTTTACCGTAATTTGCTAAAATGGATGTTCATTTTGTCGAATTACAGATTATGAAACCCATTTTGCATTTCAAAATAATCAAAAAACATGCTTTGAGTGTTTACCTCATAAATAAAAGCAGAAAAAGAAAGTGTGAAGATCAAACTTTTAAACAATATTTGCAAGAAAAAGAAATCATTATAAAATCTGAAGAGCTTGAACATATGGTGTATGAAAAACTTATACATATTGATGGAGAAAGCATTACGCATATTAGGTAATTATAACCCCAGGGAATCATTAGACAATGCAATTTAATGAGTCAAATTGATATGTCATATTAAATTGCATTGTCGAATGAGTATTCCTTAAGGGGGCTGTAATATCTAATATTTGTCAGTTCTCTTAACATGATATAGATCAGTTATTTCTCTCACTTTCTTACTGTTTTTCTATATTGCAATTCTTTGGCATAATTATTTCTATATATTTTGTTTAGTATTTTCAATAAATTTTTTTAAATTTGGATGTAAATTAATGTCAATATTTAAAAGATAGTACAAACACCTCCAAATTTGCCTTTTTTACATTGAAATTTAGTAAAAACAATCCAAGTTTTCATAATTGTACTTATTAAGTAAATTAAAAATAGTTAAGGAATCAGGAAAATTGTTTACATATTTGAGTTTATAGAACCAATGATCTTATTCTAAGTTGTACATCTTTTCTTTTTTACACTTATTAATGATTACTTTCTTCATTATTTTGCAGATTATTTTTGTTAAAATTCTTTTGTAAAAGTCTCTATAGTATACTTTACACATCGCAATTCTATTCAAGCTTCTTAAATCTTTTGGTCTTTATGTCTTTTTGCAACTGCAACAATGATTGGTTTTTCTTTTACTATAATATTGTCATTTTTTTAATTTCTTTTTTGCTGCATTAGCACTGATAAATTTATATATATGCTTTTTACTTTTTTGACATTCTATTTTAATATATCCTGTTTCATAGCATTTTTTACATTTATAGTTTGGACAACTTCTAAATAAAGACCATGACTTTTACACTTGCTGCATATTCTTCATTCTATCCTTTTATATTGTATCATTAAAAGTTTGTAAGATGGTTTCTTAGACAAAATTTTGAGATTAATGTGATTTTTCAAAAATCAAGTGATTGTTTTTAATTTTCACGTTACATATGATCCTGTCCTCTGATTGGCCAGAATTGTTAAATTAGTAAATGCATTTTATGGCGTTAACGTTAATAAATAAATCAAAATCAAAATCAAACTAAACTAAATAAAAGTTTAAAAATCAATTTGTTGAAGTTTTATAACAAAATTGAAATATTTTAAAACTAATTTTAAATCAAAATGCTGTAGTTTAATTTAAATTTATAATCCAATTGTAAAACTAATTTTAACATTAAATTAAATATTCTTATAATTAAACATATATGTCTCTAAAAGGGGCGCCAGTGGCGCCCTATCAACACTTGTAATCAATAAAATTATCCTTATATGTTAAACTAATAAAAGTAAAAATTATTGTAGCTTCTTAAGCGAAAAATTTTTAGTAGAATAGTCGGCCCTATAATGCGTTATCGACCCATGGGTCAAATTTAAGTTAGAATCAACATGATTGATTAATTTTACATTCGACAATGCCCAATAAAACTTGAGTTAATTAGGGTTTTTGTGGGAAAACTATATTACCAAACTATTTAAGTGAACAGCACTTAACGCAGACCTAAACCATTGAGTTAGAACTATTGGCAAATAACAGGCCCTTTGAAAACAAGTATATAGCCCGGAACTGCTAATCCAATCACTAATATCCACAAAACAACCTGTGGTAGAATATTTCTATAAATAATCAAGAATTTATGATTAGATGCCGCAACACTTATCCTTCCCATCAATTCTCCTACCGGTATTTGATACTTATTTGCTATCTCACTAACAATTTTTTCATCAGGGTTTCTAGCCAATCTCAGAACATCTTTCCCACTCATTATCATATCTTCTGCATATGTCCTAATTTAGTACAGGCAACTCTAGAATGCGGAAAAGTCATCTGTAAAGTGTTTGTACTTGATATTGAAGCAACAATAACGGTACCAATAATATACATTAGCATAGATATTATCTGGATAGTGAAAAAAGAAACTATAAGAGTATATGAATAATTATAGCCACTCTTCAATCAGAAGTGTAGTAGGAAAATGCACAAAATTGAAAGCATATGTTGACTCAGGAGAAAAAGAGTTTGGTAAAGCTAATGAATTTGCTGCCATCCTTGCAAATAATAAACATGCCGCACCCGACCTCTGCAATTGTGGAAAATTTGGGTTTGTGGCATCTCTGCATCGATCAATATCATCATTAATTCCAATTCCCATTCCAATAAGTCCTGCTATATTTAACAAAGGAACTAATACTGATAAAAGTTTTGATAGCGCTTCATTATTTCTATACCATCCAATTCGTCCAGTATAGGTGGAGTATATACCTAAAATAATACTAATGCTCGTGCTAATTACTATGCCACCAACCCAACTGGCTATTTTGTTATCTGACATAGATTTCAAAATTAAGTTCACAATTAAATTTTACTGGTACTTGCTCTTTTTTGTTCAACTGCTTTTCCAAACCCACTTTCTTTTAAGGTCTGAAACAATTCTTAATATCTTTCCTAAAAAAATAAGAGCTTTAATTGTGGAAATTTTCGTTGGCTAAAAGTGTTTATTTTTTCTAGTAAATCACTAAGGTGTTCCAACTAGCATCATCCGAGACTTTCTCTAATTAGGTTCTTCAATGTTCAGTTTACTCTTTTGAGCATTTTTTCATAATTAGTTTCTTATATTAACAATTGTAATACAATTGTGTTTCATGAATCTGCTTTGTACCAAGAACGTAGTATAACGTAGTGTATGGTTTCATGGAGAGTGAAGTATCGGTACGTATTTCCGTGCATTTGATTTGATTGATTGGGTCATATAACACAGCCATCAATATCGTGTACATGCGTACGTACGTACGTACGTACGTTGGGAAATTCGAATTTCTAATGTCACACAAATTTCGAATTTGTGACACCAGCTTCTAATGTCACAACGTGCATGAACCGGTGTTACGTAAATTTTGATTGACGAATAATTGCCTGTAGTAAAATCGTGACTACGTAAACTGCCCAGCGTTGATTACTACATTTTTATTAAATTTTACATATTACTGTATTTGTTAATATTTATTATTCTGTCACATTACATAACCGTTAGCTATACATTATTACATTTTATATTACGGCTGTTACTCCATATTTTGTAAATATTTTTGGGATTACCTTATTTTTATATCAAGAGTTAAGGAATGGAATGAGAATATAAAAGGTGGCTTTAGACGAAAGGAGAGGAAGATGGAT